ATATATATATATATATATTTTTTTTTTTTTAACAGTCCAGTGGTGTAATGATCCATCACAGGCAGCAGTTGTGGGTTTTTTTATTTTTGAAATGTGCATGTCATTTGTCCCCACTACATCGATGATAGTTTTCAGTTTATTTGTTCCACAGTTAAGGCTATTGTTAGGCTACGGCAAAGATCAATGTAGTCTAAATGAGATAATTACAGGTAGCCCGTCAATGTCTCATTTGAGTTGACTTGAATTGAAATGACATAAGGGATTTGTAGAAGTCTCTTTTTCCCTCTGCTTCAGATGCCTACACAAAGTCTGAAGTTACTTATATTTGGACTCGAAATGCCTCCAAATCTGTGGATGTGGCAGCTGATGGATCGAGACTCAACCAGTATGACTTGGTGGGACAAACTGTGGGAAAGGAGACAATTAAATCCAGCACTGGTAAAGATTCAAATTTTTCTTGTTGTCTTTTTTATTTATCATTCTATTTACTACTGCTTAAGCACATGAAAAAAACCCACATGAGCGTCGGGCAAAAATGCTAACTGTGCATAAAAAGGTCTCTGATAAAATTTGAATCCACAACCTTTGACTGTGATGTACTAACACATGCAAAAGTATTTCTGCTCCAGCCATATACAAGAGAATGACCATTGACTCACTATTAACAAATTATGTATTATGTATTGATGTATTGACCATGGTTCCTGTTCATGAATTCTAATATATATATATATATATATCTGAAATTGACTGCTCATGAATGTTTTTACACTACCTTTTAGGTGAATACACGGTCATGACTGCCCACTTCCACCTGAAAAGGAAAATTGGCTATTTTGTGATCCAGACATACTTGCCCTGCATCATGACAGTAATCCTCTCCCAGGTCTCTTTCTGGCTTAATCGAGAGTCCGTTCCAGCCAGAACTGTATTTGGTGAGTCCATTTATCTGAACCCAACACTTTGGACTATCACTAAATAAATGCACTGAACTTCTAAGTTCACAGAACACGATAATAACCAGAAGTCTGAACCATTTACATTATAGTGGAATAGAGTCCAGTATACAGTAGATCAGGGGTGGCACGCCCGCGGCTCGCGAGCTGCAAGCGACTCTTTGGCAGCTCAATGCGGCTCCCGGGCTTTCAAATGACACGCGTCGAAAACGCCTCGGCTGTGGCGGTGCCAATCAAACGACGGCGCTAAATACACAGAACTCACTACGTCAACCTATCATCAAATCCATTACTTGGGTGACATACAGGGCAACCAATCAGATGACAACGGAATCACCGCTCATGCGCAAACTAAGGTGCTTGGCGCTAAACGCTAAGCTAGTCAGCGAATTACCTCTGATTTTCAGGCAGGGTTGCCCAATACCAATACGTCAATCGCGATCGACCGGGAGCCAGCGAACTGGTCCCAAGTCTAGCGCGAGGGTTGGGAGGAGGAAATGGGGGCAAAAAAAGCTTTGTGTGTTTCGAATTCATTCATGTTCGGTGACGTTCCGGCTGTCGCTCATCTCGGCGTGCGTGCTTGCGTATGCGCACGTGTACGTGGTTGGGTGCCCGCGTGTGTCCGTGCGTGCTTGAGTGCGTGTGTGTATATGTATATGCTTGCACGTGCTTGATCGGGTCGATCGCTGGAGGTTCACGCTTCAAAAGTCTATCTTCGGTCAAATATGTAGCAAGCTGACCAAGTAGTAAATAACCACTGCGTGTCTCGTGTGTGTGTGTGTGTGTGTGTGTGTGTGTGTGTGTGTGTGTGTGTGTGTGTGTGTGATATTGCTCTTTGCAGTAACACACTAAAAAAAATTGGCTCTTCGTCTCTGACTGGTTGGCCACCCCTGCAGTAGATCACAAGACGTCATCTCAGCTCATGTAAAGCAATACCTTGAAATCTACTTTCTCTTTTGCATTGTTGTGATATGACAAGAGAGGATACCAACACTGCAAATCAGTAAATGTGCAATGGCGGCCAGAGGTGAATTTATGCTCATTGTAGATTATGCATATTTGTGTTGTAACTGAATGAATTCAATGAGCAAAAGTTCATGCACTCATTCATATTTTTGATGAATGTGAACTGATATTTTTTGTCTGATGAATGTCCCCCCCCCACCCCACCCAATTACAGTGGTACCTTTACTTATGAAATTAATTGGTTGTGGAAGAAATTTATTCACGAGAAAATTTTGTAAGTAGGGACATGTTTTGCATGGAAATGCGTGAATCTGTTCCAAGACCCCTAAAATTCAGACATAAATGTTTTATAAGCATAAAAATGCATCAAAATATGTAACATGTACTTGTTACACATTTTGAAAATTAGATTATTGCACAATAAATGAGTTGTGTATAATGTAAATATCAAATAATAGAGTAACGAATAAAAATAATGGTCATTTAACTTTTAACTGTGTCCTCATCGTGTTTTGCCCTCTTTAGTTCATGTTCTCTCTCAGAAGTGATTTTTGCCTGGCGTTTTGTGAAGAACTGATCCAAGGACGTTTGCTTTTTTTTGACTTTTAACAATCCTTCCAAAATGTCCAAGGCAAACATCAGCATCGTGAGCGATCGCTCATCCGGTGAACACTTTTTCTGGGTGATTCACATTTACGAAAACTATCGGAATGCCTCATGGACCAAGTGGCAAATGACAAGGATACATCTCTATCTATTATCTATCAACACACAGACAGATACGGTAGAGGTATCTCTTAGCCAATGGGATGCCAGGATGATATTCGGTCAGAGCCAATGGCAGAGCAGCTATAAGTATGGTGCGTTCATTAAACTCGGAGCTGTGAGTAGCAGCCTAAACTGTATTTTTACCTTTCGTCTCTTGAAATTTCTTTCGTAACAAGAGGCAGTATTTTTCTGTTGAGGTGATTAATAACTTGAAAATTTCGTATGAAGAGATGTGTGTGAGTAGAGGTATCACTGTACTCATATGCCGGGTCCCTATACAATGCTTTGGCTCCACTGTATAGACAAGAACGTCTGTGCATATTTTGCATTCATTCTATGCGTGTTTTGGGATGTCACCTGGAATCTTACGGATATGCACCAAACTGGGTGATACCACTGAAAACTTTAGGGGTATAACATAACAAGTGGATTCACTTGTGGATTCATTTTCAAGCAAACTCAAACTAGTGAGCTTTAAATTGTGCACGTCCACTACGTCTTAACAAGTGCACTGCCATAAACGCAATACTTATCCTAAAACTCAACTTTCTTTATAGAGAGCACTTTGAAACAAGCACGGCTGAATTTAAAGGTGCTGCTATACATAAAGTAAAATTCTGACAGAACAAGAAAGGCAGTAAAAACAATAAATCACAGGTGTCAAACGCAAGGCCCGGGGACCAGATTCGGCCTGCCACATCATTTTATGATGCCTGCTAAAATCTGTACCAAAATGCCACATAAATAATAAATAATGAGATTTTGCAATAATTTTGCGACCATGTTTACATTCACTTGAACAATAACTGAACAAACAACAAACAAATAGTTGACTGATTTCAAAACTAGTAAGCCATCATTTTTTTAGTGTACAAGTAATAATACGATGTGATGATGAAACGTTTATTCACTTTCTGTTGTCATGGCCCTCCGAGGGAAGACGTAACTCCAAAGTGGCCCACGACAAAAATTAGTTTGACACCCCTGCAATAAAGACAAAAAAACAGTACACTGTTATGCGAGTTCAAAGCCCAAGAATAAGAATGTGTTTTAAGATGAGTTTTAAGGATGGACAGAGAGCGTCTTGTCTAATGTTTAATGGAAGGTCATTTCAAATGAAGAGAAAGGCAATGAAAAATGCTTGATCTCCCTTTGAGCCTCCGCTTAGTTTTTTGTCCCTCCAGTACCGTCTGGTCCAACTGAGCTGAGGCACCAGTTGCGTATGTGGAGATGGAGGTAAGGTGGACCAAGACCATTTTCAGATATAAAGACAAGTAATTCTATCCTTCCATCCATTATCCAATCCGCTTTATCCTCACAAGGGTCACAGGGGTGCTGGAGCCTATCCCAGATGTCTTAGGGCAGTAGGATGGGGACACCCTAAACCGGTTGCCAGAACATCACAGGGCATTAAAGACAAATAAAAGAATCCTAAAATGAACTCTAAAGTCTATCGGGAGCCAGTAAAGGGAGGCCAGAATTTGAGTTGTGTGCTCAGTCCTATGAGCACCAGTTCAGAGGCGAGCAGCAGCATTTTGGACCAACTGGAGATGCTTGATAGAGGAGTGGCTGACTCCACAAGTGTATTACAGCAATCTAACCAAGATGTAACAAAGACATGGATTACAGTTTCTAAATGCCGTTGTGAAAGGAGAGGCTTTACTTTAGCCAGCTTCGAAAATAAATAATAAAAAAAAAAGAAGCTGGATTTAACAACAGCACCGATTTGCCAGTCCAATTTGAAATCACCGTATAAAAGCCCCTGGTACGAGGGCATAGTAAAAACACATGCTAGTACAGTTGGCTACAGCAAACAAACTATTGATGTTTGCAAAGCGCCTGAGCTGACAATGTGAGATATTGGTATAAACAATCAGCGGCTGAGGCTGAGTTAGCATGCTGGTTTCTCGTTGAATATCGAAATTAACCAGACATCTCACATCACCAAATAAGAACAACCGTACACCACCACCAACGGAATCAAGCAATCCTATCCCTGTCTGGTCCAGTTGAAGTTTCTCCTGTTGAGTCAAATTAAGCCGCAGGCTTCACTTCTGGTGGTGCCATTCTGTCAATTACATTATGCTTCAGCTTTGCAGCCATACTCCCCCCCAGAACCCAAAGACATGGTGGTTTCCCAAGTGCTGCCCGGGCCGGTCATGGGACTGACCCCACCCGATCGCGAGTCGGCATCTCTTATGGTCGGAGCTACGGGGCTATCTGATCATCTTCGATCCCAGACTTTCGTTCTGGTAAATCCTTGGTAAATGCTTTTGTGTAGTTATGCCAATTGCAGGGCCTCACAATATTCCTGCAGTTATTTTTGTGGTTGGATTATCTAACAGTCAAAAGTTTTCATTTTTATTTATTTTTTTAAACCTGGGAGAACAATAATGTCACTTGCAATGTTACCACTTGCATTTTCTCCACTTGCCTCTCTGTGAAAACTTCATTTATACGAGTTAGTTTTCCATTATTTGAAAAACAGAAGAACTGAACATAGGTTAAAATAAGCAACTGTGAAGCTGTAAATCATACACAATTTTGACTTTCTGTCTGTGATGTGAAGGTCCACTCCAGAGAAGATGGACCCCGACCGCTTTTGTGGTTTTTTTTTTTTTTTTTTAGTTTTTACCTTAGCTTTCTCTCTTTAACTTGTTTTAATTTTCACTTACTGGGAAGCATCTACTTTGAGGACCCTGGCTCAGCTCATCAGGCATTTTCTCTCTCTCCGCCTTCTCTTCAAAGTTCCAAATGTTTAAAGGTAAGTGTGAATCTGTTCACCTCCTGCACCCTGCTCCTCAAGATACTGCTCATGGTAGAGAGATGTTTCCATCAGCTGGAGAAGAATAATTTGATAACCGTGAATGTAATGTGTATCCACGACCAACCTATTAGCCTGGCTAGCATTAGGCAAGATATAGTTTATTTACACAGCTACATTTCATGTACAGGACAATTCAAAGTGCTTGAAATAAAACAATGCAAGCATTATAAAAACAGAAACAAAAACTTGCACAACTCATAATAAAATCATCGAACATAATTAAAACGATTTAAACCAAGCAACAGTCTACTGCCCATTACATCGATCGCCCGGTAGCTCTTTGACTGGTCCCAAGTCAATCGCGAGGAGTGTAGAGGAAAAAAAAAAAAAAACATTTGTGTGTCTCTGTGCAATATATATTTTTTCGTGTTAATACATAGTGCACACTAATAATCCTATCAGTCTAACTTTCACAAAA